CGATTTAGGGATTTCATCTGGAGAGGAAAGGATTAGCTCTCTCTTACCTGCATGCTGTGACACCCCTCTGCAATTAGGCATGGAGCCATGTTTGCAATCCTAATGACAGCACAGAGAAAGGAAGGAATTTGTGTGTGTGTGTGTTTTTTTTTTCTGAGAAAGGGAGACTACTGCATGAGAGACTGTGTTCCATGCTTGTTATGGCATCCCTGGTGGCACAGCAGGTTAAACTGCTGAGCTGCTGAACTTGCTGACCGAAAGGTTGGCAGTTTGAATCCTAACAACGGGGCGAGCTTCCATTGTTAGGCCCAGCTTCTGCCAACCTAGCAGTTCTAAAGCACACAAATGTGAGTAGATCAATAGGTACCGCTTCTGCAGGAAGGTAACAGTGCTTCATGCAGTCATGCTGGCCACATGACCTTGGAGGTGTCTAGAGATAACACCGGCTCTTCGGCTTAGAAATTTAGATGAGCACCACCCCGCAGAGTTGGACACGACTAGACTTAATGTCAGGGGAAACCTTTACCTTTATTTATGTTTCTTATGGTGTGTTTATAGCTGCAGATGTGCTGTATGTAGGTGTGTATGGATATCTGTGTGGATTCAAAGAAATAGCCATGTTAGTCTGAAATACCAATATGCAAAGATACTGAGAATGAAGTTAGTAGACCTTCATTCGACCAACTTTTGTAGAAATATTAATATGCAAAGAGACAGAGAATGAAGTTGGTAACATCAGCTTTTGTAGAAGTAGACTTCATTCTCTCAGTTAAGATCTCATATGTGTGTATGAAAGGGACAATGTGTGGAGGTGGTCACACTAACATTAGTCTCAACCTATTTTTAAAGTGGGGGACCCATAGATGCTTTCCTAATAGGGAATATGACCCTTGAGCCGAATATATGGGTCACTTCCACATTTGTTATTGTTGTTTCTATAAAATATTTCTTATATTATTGTGGGTCAAGCTAAATGTTTTGAATGACAAACATTCAAAAGGAAGGTTTCCTAAAAAAGGATCAAAATATAAATGTAACTTTCCATCATATACATAGGTGTGTATTTCACTCTGCCATACATAGCAAGAACACATAGCTAACTAGGAAGACTTTCCACCACAGCAAACCAGGCGAGTCTGTTTAACTAGAATCAGACCTTGGAAAACAATTTATTTTCCTTTTACCCAGCTGGCAGCAAAAACCAAGATTTTAAGACCCAGTGAGGAACTGGAATGGCAACCCTGAAGGCTTCATGAGACCAGATGAAGAAATAATCGCCTTCAAGGGTGTCAACCTTCTTTGTTTGTTTGTTCCACTTATAAATGGGAGGAAAGAGATTCCCTGTACTCCCGTGTTGCTGAAAACTCAATCCCCTGGTTATAACTGTTAGTTCTGTATAGTATGCTAAAGATAAAAAAGAGAGCCTGACCAGAATATTGACTGGGAATACATCAATACTGTCCCTGAAGTGCAATAACATAATGGACTGAACCGGAATGCACAACATTTATATAATGGTGAAAGTAATTACAAAATCCAGTGATGAAAAGCAGTTGCTCCCTGGTGCCGGATGCATTTGGCAATGCCTGCAGCAATATAACCAAATCTGAAGCAATTAAATATTCCACCACCTGTTTTTCTTCTTCTTGCCTTCAAATGGAAGACAGGTATTTGATCCCCAACTAGTAATACTATATAATGCTTATGAAATCTTAAATGTAATTTTAATTTTCTGTTTCTTTATGGCTCATATATTTGTTTCAAGAATCAAGCCTTGTTCTTGATTAAAGCCCATATTGCCAGCTGCTCAAAGAACTGTTTTCATTCTCCTACTGCACAAAATGTGTCCAGTTGCCCATTAGAAGAATGCTTGGGTTTGAGTAGATTGCTGTCAGTATCCATTTCCATGAAATGAAAAAAAGAGAAATATGTTTTTCAGATCATGCAGTTGTCACTGTGGCTGGATCTACATTGCCACATAATCCATATTATCAAATCAGATAATCTGCATTACACTGAGTCTACACTACCATATCATTCAGTTCAGAACAGATAATCTGGATTTTATATGGCAGTATAGGTGGGGCCTGTCTTTCCCAATTCATAAACATAACTAGGTTAGCCTGGAATATCAGTATGCAAAGAAATCTCGTAGAATCTCAGACTGTGAGAACAAAGTTGATACCATAAGCATTTGAGAAGACTAAGATAATACTACCATCTTTGTCCTCTCAGGACCCATCCAGACAGTACTCTTATTGCAGTATTTAATGCAATAAATAAGGGGCTGTCCAGACAACATTCTGGACAGTCCCGAATTAATTCGCTACAACCAGGAAAACCCTGGTTTGTTGCGAATTAATTAGATAGTGGGTTATCTGATTTTTTGTCAGGAGCGGCTTGAGAAACTGCATGTCGCTTTTGGTTTGAGAGAATTGTCTGTCTGCAAGGACATTGCCCAGGGGATGCCCAGATGTTTTACCATCCCGAAGGAGGCTTTTCTCATGTCCCTGCATGAAAAGCTAGAGCTGACAGGCAGGAGCTCACCCCACTCCCTGGATTCAAACTGCCGACCTTTCGGTCAGCAGTTCTGTCAGCACATTGTGCCACGGGGGCTCTGATGTCATTGCTTCACCACACTGCTACTTCTCAACATCATTTTCTTCTCAACTAGCTGATTTTTCTCATCCTTTCCAAATTAGTCCCAGGCAGTCAGAAATCACATCACCATGAAACATTGTTGTTGTTCCTCCAACTTTATCAACTTATGAAGACCTGAGGCAACCCTATCATATTGCTTTCTTGGCACAATTTGTTCAGGTGGAAATTGGCTTTGCCTTCCTTGGGCTAAGAGTGTGACTTGCCCAAGGTCACCTAGTGGGTTTCATCACCAAGTGGGGATTTGAATCTGATGTCCACCATACAACTCAAATATTTTTGTTGGATATCAGCAAATATCCAAGTCAAACAGTACTTGTTATAACAAAAGAAAGCTGAACAATGCCATGCCTACCTGCAACATTACTTTTCAAACCAGAATTAATTGTGCTTTTATTGCTGCCACTACCACCACCAAACATTTGTAACTTGTTATTTTTCCAAGCTATAGATATTCTCAGAACACACAAAGGTCAAGCAAACATCAGGGAAAATGTTGCTATATCACTTTTCGGCCAGAGAAGACAAAGCAAGAATTGCACTTATCTCAGTGACAGTAAACATGCTGTGAGACTTAGCATGATCTGTGTTAAATGTGCCAGACAGGCAATTTACACTTAAGAAACATTAAATGGTGTGTGAACCAGGTATGCTATCAAAATAATAGGCTCCCTGATAATCCCAACCAGGGACATTTCCACCCAGATAGATAAAGATGGCTGCATAGAACCAAAGGACAGGACTCCTCCAGAGGCTGGCTTTTCAATATTTACGGGGAGCCCACTGCATGCCGGGAGAGGCTTCAGGAGTTTAGATGGCATTGTTTGAATTCTCATGAAGACACTTCAGTGCAGACATGATCAATAAACCTCATAGTTAAGTCTCTCAATGTAGAGTCTCAGTCCATTGATGTAGGGAGCTCCTGAGAGGATACGACTCAAAAGACTTGAGACAGAGTAAGAAGCAAGAGGTGGAAAACCACCTGAAAGAATTGTTTTCCTTGAGGGGCACTAATAGTTTCATAATAAAGCAATGAATACTACTACATCACACATGGAAATATTTGGCTGAAAAATAGTGAGAAGTTGTTTTATTAGAAGCAATCCATAATTGTAAAGACAAGTACAATGAAGTATGTTTTCCCCCTTTCTTGGTTAGCTTTAAGACCTATTTTACATTTAATTAGGTCTAGATTTATGATTTTTGCAAAGTTACAATCCATTTATCCTGCTTCCTTTTACAGGTATGCCCTACTTTAAGATACCTCACTAATATGGCACTTTTCAATTTTCTGCACTTCCTATCTCGGTGTCATATTCTGGTATTCTGTCTGAACATATCTCCTTTTATGAGCCAACTAGTGCTTTAAGATCTGTTGGGGAGGCTCTGTTTTCGGTCCCACCTCCTTTGCAAGGGCAATTGGTGGGGACAAGAGACAGGGCCTTCTCAGTGCTGACCCCTTGGCTGTGGAATTCCCTCCCTAGTGATATCAGGCTGGCCCCATCCCTCCTGGTCTTCAGGACAAGGCTAAAGACCTGGCTCTGTACACAGGCATTCAGAGAATAGGATAATATGGAATCAACCTCAACAGCCTTTATAACGACCATGAGAAAATCAAAAAGTATGGGAACCAAACACTGCACTTTATCATGTTTTTAATCTGTTATGTTTTTAAAATTTTGTTTTATTGCTTTTATGTGTATTAATTGTTTATATGTTTTAACTGTTTTAGAGTTTGATATGGCTTTTTCTATGGTTATTTTATGATACAGCATTGAATTTTTGCCAGAGTTTGTAAGCTGCTTTGAGCCCCTTGTGGGGTGAGAAAAGCGAGGTATAAATAAAGTAAATATTATTACGGTATTATTATTTACTTTTATATCTATTTTTAGGCCTAGTGATACTGTGTATTTTAATATGTATTTTATAGAAATATGTTTTAATATGTATCTGTTATATAAATACATTTTAATATGTGTATTTGTGGAATTTTTACAATATTTATGTGTTTAAACTATTCTGTAACCCACTTTGAGCCATTAGGAGAGGCGGGTAAGAAATAAAATAATAACAACATACATACATACTTGATAAATGTTAGAGAAAATATCTTTTAGGATTTTATATGCACTGTAAAAAGACATTACTGCAGACAAAAAAAATAGATGATAGATGAAACTCTTCAAGCAGTTAAAGACAAACAGAAGGCAAAACATGAAGAAATTGGGTCAGAATTCTTTTGTGGAGGAACAAGGAGAGTGACCATAATTATAATTATAAATGCAGAGAAATATGTCACTAAAACCCTCCCTTTTTCTGTCTGTTGCTGCCTCCACAAGGACATGCCTCTCACAAAGGACCTTTTGCATTCCTCCCCTGAGAAGGAGAAGCAGATGCACAAGAAGAAGCACCTGGTCCAGAGCCCCAACTTGTACTTTATGGATATGAAGTTCCAGGTTGCTACAAGATCACCACTCTTCAGCCATGCTCAGAGAGTGGTTTTGTGCACTGGCTGCTCAGCTTTGTTCTGCCAGCCCACTGGTGGAAAGGCACAGCTGATAGGAGGATGCTCCTTCTGGCAAAAGTAACACTAGATGGTTGTTGCCATTGGGTGGGGCTATAGGCCCAAGATTGGTGGCCATGATGTTGCTCTCTCTCTTGGAGAGCACAGACAGATCCCAAGACAACGGATCAAACCGAGGCCACCTCTGTCCTTGTAGCCTCGTCCATTTGACTCAATAAATTTTGGACAGTAAAAAGGGGGAAGAACAAAAAACCTCTTTCCATGGTCAGAGAGCTTTAAAGGAAATTTAAACCAAGAGCAGGGACCACAACCAGTATGAAAAAACATTACATGACCAAAGACAATAGAAGAAATATACTGAAGACCTATATAAAAGAGATGAAAGAATGGCTGATTCATCCAAGGATGAAGAAAAGACTACAATTTCAGAAAGTGAAGTGGAAGACAGCTTCAAAGCACTTGGGATGAATTAATTCACCATGAATGGATAGCATACCAAGAGAGCTGCTTGAACGCTATAGAGCAGTGGTTCTCAACCTGTGGGTCCCCAGATGTTTTGGCCTTCAGCTCCCAGAAATCCCAACAGCTGGTAAACTGGCTGAGATTTCAGGGAGTTGTAGACAAAAACACCTGGGGACCCACAGGTTGGGAACCACTGCTATAGATGCAGAATCTACCCAAATTTAATCTAACATATGTCAAGAAATGCGGAAAACCAAGCTATGGCCCACAGATTGGAAATGCTCAATATACTTTCCAGTCCTCCAGAAAAAACTCCACCAAGAGTTGCAGTAACCACAGGATCTTCAAGGCAAGCATTAAGTGATGTTTAAAATTCAACAAAGACTTTGACTGTACATGGAAGTGGGAGGATGTAATTAGTGAGGTGAGAGAGAATGTAAATGTAAAAAGTAAACATATTTTAAATTCTTAATTGGTGTTATCAAACATTAATTGGGTGGGAGAAGTGACAGCCTAGAATAGATGAGTTGCTTAGCAGGTACTTTGTGATGAAAAGCTAAATAGTCAAAGAAGGTTAAACTGAATTGTTTTGAAGGTATAATGAAATATTGAATCCACACCTGTGAAAGAAATCACACCACGATCCCCCTTCCCATTACTCCTTTTTATCCTTACTTTCTTACAGCATCTTTGTCTTGTGAATACGGCTGGCTCTACACTGTAGAATTAGTGCAGTTTGACATTCTCACTGCCATGGCTCATTATTATGGAATCATGAGATCTGTAGTTAGGTGAGACCATCAGCACTCTTTGGCGAAGAAGGCAAGAGACCTTATAAAACAAAAACTCCCATTTATTTATTTATTTCGTGTCAAAAGCATTGCATAAATAAAACAAGTATAAAACTGATAAAATAGAGGGAGCACAAGTGGCTAAATAATTTTAGACCAAAAATGGGCAAGACCGAACACATTGTAGCTTTAAGCTATTCTTCCTTTGTGCATGAGGCAGGACATTGTGGGCAAGCATACAGGTGCGGAGTTGTTTGTTCTGCTCCACAGTCACAACAAGGTGGAGGATTCTTCTAGGAAGTGACATTTCGCAAGGTTTCTTTTGATCTCCTAACACCACTTCTGAGTCTGTTCAGGGACTTCCAAGTTATCCATTTTTGGTTTGGGGGATCATCCATTTGGGGTTTATTGGTTTAGCTGCCCAGAGGGATAGTTGCTGTTGCTGGGGGTCATTAAGAGAAGTGGTGGTTCTCATGAAACTTTTCCTTGATTTGGATCTTCTGGGAGGAGACCTTTTTTTTCATGTCAGGAGCAACTTGAGAAACTGGGGGGGGGGGGGGGGGGAGGGGGTCAGAGGGGTGCCCAAAGACCATCAGAAAACATGTATTTCTGATGGTCTTAGGAACCTTTGGCAGAGAAGGCTGAAGATATCTCTGTCTGTCCTTCTCTTCCTTTTTGGAAACAGAGGGTGAAGTCTCCCAACAAAAGCCCTCCTCCAAGAGGAGGACTGTTTCTGCGACTCCAAATGAGGAGGGGAGAGCAGGCGTGTTCGGTGCATGGCAGCGTGGTGCACATGTGCAGGGAAGGGAGAGCATGCAAGGCTGGAGGGAGCTCACGCCAGTGAGTCCCTTCAAGGCATGGGGGTTCTGTGTGGGAAGTTTGGCCAATCTATTGTGGGGTTCAGAATGCTCTTTGATTGTATGAACTATAAATCCCAGCAACTACAACTCCCAAATGTCAAGTCTATTTTCCCCCAAACATTCCACCGGTGTTCACATTTGGTCATATTGAGATTCATGCCAAGTTTGGTTCACATCCAACATTGTTTGAGTCCACAGTGCTCTCTGGATGTAGGTGAACTACAACTCCAAAACTAAGGTCATACCCACCAAACACTTCCAGTATTTTCTGTTGGTCATGGTGTTCCAAGTCTGGTTCAATTCCATCATTGGTGGAGTTCAGAATACCCTTTCATTATAGGTGAACCATAAATCCCAGCAACTACAACTCCCAAATGGCAAAATCAATACTCCCCCCAAACCCCAAGATTATTCAAAATTGGGCGTAGTGGGTATTTGTGCCAAATTTGGTCCAGTGAATGAAAATACATCCTGCATATCAGATATTTGCATTATGATTCATAACAGTAGCAAAATTACATGTATGAAGTAGCAATGAAAATAATTTCATGGTTACGAGTCACCATAACATGAGGAACTGTATTAAGGGGTCACAGTATTAGGAAGATTGAGGAATACTGTTATAGTCTATCAACAGATGTAGGTTTGAGACATCCTGTGATTATTCTACATGTTTCATTCAGTGCTATATCCATCTGTTTTGTGTGGGCAGACTTCTGCTAAACAGGGCAGGCACACTCAGCAGTTGAGTAAGACAAAGCCAGGGCTGATGCTCTAATTAATTTTGGGTCTGCACCCCATGCGCTGCCAGTAAGTTTCTGCAGGATGTTATTGCGTGCAGCTACTTTGTGCTTGGTGTTCATATAGTGTTTCCTAAATGTTAGTCTTCGATCTAAGGTGACACTGAGATATTTAGAATGGGAACAGTGTTCAAACTCCCATGATCCCATAGCATTGAGCTATGACAGTTAAAGTGGTGACAAACTGCATTCATTCTACAATGTAGATGCACCCTTAGATGGCAGTCACTCTCAAGGGCTTCCTGCAATATTTTCATAATTCTATAACTTTTTGGCATAACCAAAGCATAACCATAACCGAAGCAAGCTGCCCTTCTATGGTGCTTAAAATATGCTGCCTGAGCTGGCTGCTTAATTCTGCCTCATGGTAGTGCTGGTTTTGATAAAAGAAAAGGGCTACATAAATCCAAGCAAATATTCCATAGGACAGAAATTACACCCAAGCATTTGATGCAATACTCACCAAAGTTGATACACAGATCAACTCACTGTAGTATTGTATCCTTATGTAAATTCCAAATTCCCTTCAATAACACTTCTGATAGTTTTCATCTTGTCAACATCTCTGGCTTACGATTGTCATTTGTTTGGCTTTTCAAGTATGACAGGAGATAATGTGTGCATTTACAAACATAGATGATGATCTATTCCACAATGAAGTTTGAAGGGCCCAGAAACAGATGGGATCACTCCTTGTTTTGTTCTTGAGGTTAATGGGTGGATAACATAGATGTTACACATGGTAGTCCGCTTAAATGCCTGGAAACCTACCATAACAGGCATAGCAGATGTCTGGAACAACATCAACAATAGTAATATTTGACAATGGCTCTATAAAATATTTATATTCCACTTACACCCCCAGTCCACCCCCTTCCTTAGCACCAAACAAAGACGAGTGAATATGCAACCAGTCAGCAAGGGATTTGCTTCCTTTTTGACTTGACTAATACTATAGAGCTAAAAAAGTAATTTGCATCTCAATAAAATGCATTTCCTTACCCACTTCATATCTCTCTAATTCCTTAGAAGGATTATAAAATAAATGCCGGGATCCATATTTACCTGGATGTAAGTCCTATTAAAATGAATAGAACTTGTTTTTTAGTAGGTCTCCTTTGGGTTTTGGATTTTGACACCACTTTTAACTGCTGTGGCACAAACCTTTGGAATCAAGGGAGCTGTTGCTACAGGTTGAGTAGCCCTTACCTAGAATTCCAAAATTGTCTACATGGATGGCTGAGATAATGCCACTTTTCCTTTCTGGTGGTTTTGTTCATTCGTTCAGTCGTCTCCGACTCTTCGTGACCTCATGGACCAGCCCACGCCAGAGCTCCCTGTCGGCCGTTACCACCCCCAGCTCCCTCAACGTCAGTCCAGTCACTTCAAGGATGCCATCCATCCATCTTGCCCTTGGTCGGCCCCTCTTCCTTTTGCCTTCCACTTTCCCCAGCATAATTGTCTTCTCTAGGCTTTCCTGTCTCCTCATGATGTACCAAAGTACTTCAACTTTGTCTCTAGTATCTTTCCCTCCAGTGAGCAGTCGGGCTTTATTTCCTGGAGGATGGACTGGTTGGATCTTCTCGCAGTCCAAGGCACTCTCAGCACTTTCCTCCAACACAGCTCAAAAGCATCGATCTTGCTTCGCTCAGCCTTCCCTAAGGTCCAGCTCTCACATCCGTAGGTTACTACAGGGAATACCATGGCTTTGACTAGGCGGATCTTTGTTGCCAGTCTGATGTCTCTACTCTTTACTATTTTATCGAGATTGGACATTGCTCTCCTCCCAAGAAGTAAGCGTCTTCTGATTTCCTGGCTACAGTCTGCATCTGCAGTAATCTTTGCACCTAGAAATACAAAGTCTGTCACGGCCTCCACGGTTTCTCCCTCTATTTTCCAGTTGTCAATCATTCTTGTTGCCATAATCTTGGTTTTTTTGACGTTTAGCTGCAACCCGGCTTTTGTGCTTTCGTCTTTCACCTTGATTAGAAGGCTCCTCAGCTCCTCCTCGCTTTCGGCCATCAGAGTGGTGTCATCTGCATATCTGAGGTTGTTAATGTTTCTTCCAGCAATTTTCACCCCAGCTTTGCATTCATCCAGCCCCGCACATCGCATGATGTGTTCTGCATACAAGTTAACAAGGTTGGGTGA